TTAATACAATTGATACCACGATGCACGTGTTTCTAATCTCTATATATCTGATTATTACTAGTCACAGTCAGTTACTTTCTGAGCTCTTTGGCATCTGAGCATGGATATAAAGTCATCAGGTAGATTTCAATGGTAATGTTTTTCACATCTATTAATTATTAAGGAGCAAATTTTTATGCTTTGAAGAATTATTTTTTTAATTTAATAACCACATGATTGGAAGAAGCATTTCATTACAGCTTTAACATGTTCAGTAACACACTACAGAGCAAGGATACATCTCTTTTAAAAATGGCTGTGAATTTTTAGGTTCACAGTTGAATTAATAGCAGTATACAATACTGAACTCAATATAAACCCTGTAAGATATAAAATTGGATGAGTTTTAACCCTTTAAAGAAGATCTCCATTTTATTTTAAAATATGCTGTTTCCTACATTTTTAATGCTACTAACACTTAGATGTTTGCACATGTGTCTTTAATTTCTATGTATCTGATGATTACTAGTCACAGTCAGTTACACTCGGATCCTTAGTACCTGAGTATGGATATAAAGTCATCAGGTAGATTTCACTGGTAATGTTTATCACTTCTATTTAACATGAAGTAAATTTTTATGCTTCTTCCTCAAATATGTCTTTTTTAAATTTGTTGACTTTTCTGTGTGTATATCATACAGAACATCCCACACAGTTTTATTCGTCTATAAACCCTCTTCCCAAATGGCACCCTCCCATAGCCTCCCCCCCTTCCACATACTGGAGCCCACATACTCTGTCATCCCTGTTACTATCCTCTATGTTGTCGACACCCCAAGCCATTCTCCAGTGCTTGCCTGTCTGCTGAATCTAGTCAGCCTGTCTAGAGATCCTTGTTTTAGGAAGATCAACTGTTCCTCATCCTGCAGCAATCAGTTGTCAATATTCCTTTAGGTAAGATTTGGGTCTGCTGTTCATTTTCCCAGTTCTATGCTGGGTTACTGTCTGGGAGTCTCTTTCACCACCTTGGCCAGTAACTCAAAGGAAGGTATCACCTGTCTGGCATTGTTTCTTGTTATGTAGCTTTTAGCTATACATATGGACTTGGACTCTTAAAAATTATATTGACCCCTTTAATCTTTGGTTATACTTTCCTTTGGGGTGTTTAAGACCCTACAGTTGGCCCAGATAAAACAATTTATTTTTACTCTTAAGGTTGTTTGAGGATCTGTTCCTCAGGAGTAATATGGGCTTGGGAGAAGCCCCTGGCTCCTTTCTTTTACCAGTTCCGTCTATGTGAAGATACATCAAAGGTACTGCTTGATCATGGCTGGCTTTACTTGGAAGCATGGAGGAAATGTTGACCCTCCTCTTTTTAGACTGGACACTGGTCAAGAACTGATCTTCATGAAGGGAGGAATTCTAGATAGGCTGAATAGCCCTTAGTGGATGAACTTGTACTGAGGGATGTCTGGGGATACTAACTTGACTCTATAGGCCTTAACACAAACGACAGAATGCATGAAGTCCAGTGAGGGCTGGGGGCTATGGAAGGGTGCTGATGGGGAAGGGGGTATAAAGAAGATCAAGCTGTTCTGTATGAAATGCACAAAAATTCAATTAAAAAATTTACAAAAAAATAAATAAATAATAAAGTAAAGGCAGGTGAGGGAACGTCACTTCATTTACTTGGAAAGTTCACCAAATCT